TATATATCTTCACACCCTGCATCCTGTAATTACTCCCAGTTTCTCCATCTTCATTGCATCTGTTCTGATGATGGTACCTTCTGCACTTTTTGCTCAACCGAGGATTCCCCACTACAGTGGTTGACAGGGCCCTTAGCTGTGTCTGACCCATCTCCCGTATTTCTGCACTCACCCCTTCTCTACCCTCCCACAATAACAACAGAGTCCTCCAGGTTCATTTAACACCCCACCAGCCTCCACATCCAAAGGACTGTAAACCACCATTTCTGCCACCTCCGAAGGGATGCTACAACCAGATACATATTCCCTCCCTGGTCAGCCTTCTGCAGGACTATTCCCTCTGGGACACAGTGGTTCACTCCTTCTCCATTCCCAACATCTGCCCACACCCCCACGGCACCTTCCTATGCAATGGCAGAAGGTGTAATACCCACCTGTTCACCTCTCCCCTCCTCACTATCCAAGGCCCTATTCACACCTTCCACGTGAAGCAGCGATTTACCTTACTTTATTCAATCTCGTCTACTGTATTCACTGCTCACAGTGCAGTTTCCTCAACCTTGGGGAGACGAAATGCATTGGGCAACCGCTTTGCAAAACACCCACATTCTATCCGTAAAAATGACCCAGAGTTTTCAGTTGCCTGCCACTTCAACACACCACCACGTTCAAAAACAAAGTTGCTGGAAAAGCTCAGCAGGTCTGGCAGCATCTGTGGAGGAGAAAACAGAGTTAACGTTTCGGGTCCAGTGACCCTTCCTCAGAACTGATGGTAGCTGGGAAAATGTCAGTTTATATGCAGAAAATAGGGAGGTGGGTGGGGTAGGGAGTAAATGATAAGATAGAGCTCGAAGAGCGAGAAAGACAGTTGTCCAGACAAAGGAGTTGCTAACGATCAGGCTGGGAGAGTGAATAGTTGTTAATGGAGACTGTTAGTGACTAACAACAGAGGGTGTGTAGCGGCAGGCTATGTGGTAACAAGGCCTGGTGTGTGGGGTGAGGGGCTGGGACATGGGAGAGTTTAGGCCCTAAAATTATTGAACTCAATATTGAGTCCGGAGGGCTGTAGGGTCCCCAAGCGGAAAATGAGGTGTTGTTCCTCCAGCTTGCGTTGGGCTTCACTGGAACACTGTAGCAAGCCAGAGACAGAGATGTTGGCCAGACAGCAGGGTGGTGCATTGAACCACCATGTTCCCCTGCCAACATATCTGTCACAGGCCTGCTGCAGTGTTGCAGTGAGCCTCAGCATAAACCTGAAGAATAACATCTCATTTTCTGCTTGGGGATCCTACAGCCACTAGGACTCAAAACAAGTTCAATTACTTTACAGCATGATTCCATCCTTCTGTGTTTTTTACTCACCCCCGCAACCTGGTGTTGTTATAAATATGGGTTGTTTTAAGACAGCCAATCTGTTTTCACCCACTTTCAGGCCTATTATCACATTACATGGTTGCCTTTCAGCCCAGACTACCCGTTCTCTGCTCCCCTCAACTCTCATTATCACTTATTCAGCTTCTCTTCTGTCCTGGCCTACCATCTATAATCCCCTCATTTACCTAACCATTTCATATCTCTCTCTCTGGACTCCAACACGACCGACTGCCTCAGCTCCCCCTTCCCTCACCCTTCTCCAACCTCAACTTCAGCAAAAATGTCAGTATTCCTTCGTTGCTTTCAGTTACGATGAACAGTCAATGATGGATTTGAAACATTACTCCGCTTTCTTCCCACAGATACTACCAGACTTGCTGAGTTTCGCCAGTAATTTCAGTTTCTGTTTCAGATATCCAGCATCTGCAGTTCTTTGTTTTATTTTGGAAAAAATATACCGGCCTTGATGGTGAACTGCCCTCCTGAACTTTTGCAGTCCATAAGGATTATAGCTTTTGCTAAAAAGCAAATTGCTGGGTTTGGGAGTCACACAAATGCCAGACTTGCTAAGTACAGTTAATTTCCTTCCCAAAAAGGACATAAGTAATCCAGCTGGAGTTCCAAATCTTATCGTCAGTAATATCCAGCATACAGTCAGCAGAGGCAGATACGCCTAACTGAAGACGAGGACAATGATCCTGGCCTAGCTGACCTTTATATCTATAGTGAGATACATCCCAGCTGACAAAGGGCACATCAACAACTGTATTAGCTCCAATAATGGTGCTCCCCACATATTTTTGGTCAATACATACCTGTCGATGTCTACACGAGTATACGTCAGTCAAGTCCAGGGATGTGTAGATTAGGTGAATTAGTCATGGGAAATGCAGGGTTACAGGGACAGGGTAGGAGGATGGGTCTGGGTGTGATGCTCTTCGGAGGGTCAGTGTGGACTCGATGGCTGAATGGCCTGTTTCCACATTGTAGGGATTCTATGAATCCTTACACAGGAGCAGTGTGTTCATTTTAGTACCGCACCAACAATACCTCTAAAACCCACTCAGGGTGACAAAGGCAGTAGAAGCATGGAAACACCTCACATCATTTCAACTTGGAACAACATCACCATTCTTTCAGAGTCGCTGGATCAAGATCCTGGAACTCTTCCAAACAGCACTGTAGAAGGTGCCTACAACTCTTGGACTGCAGTGATTCAAGCAGGCAATTAGATTTGGGACTGCAACTACTGAAATGCATATTACTTTCTCCTCTTTTTGGTTTTACAGAAATGAAAAGGTACAGAAGTTTTAAAGTGAGCTGATGATATCCAGCAGTCATAATTTTAGTGACTTTGAAAATTCTGAAAAATTCTGCGAACACCTTCCCATAATTCCAAAAGTAGTCTTGCAGAACTCCCAAAGTATAGATGTCTTAGGTGAAGAATTATTGCTTACCAAAACAGATACAGCTCGTGTTTGGAGATAAGAAAATGGTTTCCTTAACAACTTTCAGGTCTTACTGGGACATTGCCAAAATGGGAACACCTGCATCACACATACTGTTGCAGCTCAAGGAAGTAGATCACAACCACCTTCTCAAAAACGAGATTTGTAATGGCCTAATTAGTAATACCCACATCCCACAAAGTAATTTTTAAAACAAAACTAGCGATTAATTTTGCTCACTTTAAAACATTTAAGCTGAAGCAACATATTCAGGATTCTACTATGACGTGCTACTGAAATGTTTGATGTGCATGTTCAACCTTATCTGTGTAGGTCATGTCAGGTATTTCTGCTGTAGTTCGACAAGATGTTTGAAATTTGATAATGAGATAGTGGTCAAAGGGCCCTTTGTTACAGGCAGTGTTCAGAGAATGAGTGAGATATCGACCCACATTGGGATTATATTAGGGTAGTCAACATCTACAAGGGAACATAGAGAATAATATTAATAATAAATAACACTATAATGGGTTGAAAACCATGGGCTGAAACCAGCCATTCAAATTTGTTCTGTCAAGTCACATTTTTCCTATTTTTTTAAAAATGTGATTGCACCAATTAACAAATTTACTTCCTATTACAAGAATGTTGAGTATTTTTTTGATAGGATCAAGGTCAAGATTGGTTGATAATAACTTCACAATAACAGCAGGCAGATACTTAAGGTAGGCACATGACATTTTAAAATGGTGTTACATTTGTTTACTTTACATTAATCTCGTTAAGTCATATTGAAGTTCTATAATATCTTTTATGTAAACTAGCTGTAAAATTTCCTACTTTTGTTTGGAAGGGCAGCAGTACAATCGGCTTCAACCACAACAAAAAAATCTCCAAAGGAAACATTAATTGTCAAAATATGTCTACAGCAAGGAACCATACTTCAGAATATTAATCATATTCTCCAAATCCACAGCTATTATAAACTGTGCTGCGCGTACCTTAGGTTTCTTTCTGCAAGCTCAACCTCAACATCCCAATTAATCAGAGATAAACTTCTGATCCCATATTCTCTTCATTACTAATTCTGTATACCTCCATTCTGGAACATTGCTTCTCACTTTCCCTGCCTCAGCTCAACTGCTATTGAAATCCTCTCTTTCTCTAACCACCATGATGTTCCTATTCTGATTTTACATAAACCCTGATTTCCTTCATCCCACCAGCAGGGTCCTACTACTCAGGTGCTCAGCTCTGGAATTCCCTCCCTATACCTCTTGGTATCTATCTCCTCCTTTACGACAATGGGTAAAGTCTAACTCTTTGGCCATGCTTTTCATTACTCGTCTTGATAGCTCGTGTGTTTTCATGAGCATGCTCCTGTGAAGTGCCTCGTGTGTTTTATATACGAATGCAAAGCTTGGATGCTGTTGATGAGTGTGGACATCTGCAGGTTGGTGCAGAGGTCACAGACGAGGAAGGCAAGTCATGTTCTGACACATCTCTGCAGCCACTGATGTGGCCATTGACTGTGCATTGTATAAAATGAATGAAAACATCCAAATCTCAAATCCGTCTCAGCCTCCTCCTGGGGTTCTCAACATCAGTCTTGAACAATTCAATTCACTCCATGTGATATCCAACAATGGCTGAAGGCACCAAGTAATGAAATACATATGGGCCCACGCATATAGTACCAAAATCTTTTGCTCCAGAACAAGGCATGTCCTTAGTCAAGCTGTTCCAGTCGGTTACAACACAGGCATCTAATCAACTTGGAACTATATCACTACTCTTTCATACATGCTGGGTTAAAATTCAGAGATCCTAAAGGCACTGTGGCTGTAGTCAACTGGAATACTCAGCCTAAGACAGCGGTAGAAACAAATTCAATTGAGATTCTCAAAAGAGACTACCGGTGTACTATCTGAAGAGAAAATGTTTGTAGAGTTATGGCAAAAAGGCAGGGGATAGGAACGAGATGAACTCTCTTGCAGACAGCCAGTATTAACATGACAGACTGAATGGCCTCCTGTACTATAATCATTCTGTGGTTTGATTATTCCAGAAGAACTGAAGGGTAATACATACCGTGATGTCTAAACTAAGAGCTAGGAAGAGAATCATCATGACAATCGTTGATAAAATGATTAGACTATTATAGGATTTGTCCAAGTATGTGCATACATTCAAACTAGGAATAGTAGACCATTCGGCCCCTTAAGCCTGCGCTGCCATATGTATACATACAGTTACATTCCTTCAATACTACTGAATTGGTCCAAAGCAGCAGCAATTTAATCCCTGCCTTTAATAGATGAGAAGTACAGTACTGTAAAATGTACAATAAATACCTTGAAATCATGGATGCCTCCCCCATAATTTATTCTGCCCATGTTTTCTAATAATATGTCAAGTCTTGAACCAGCCTGTCCAGTGATGTTGATCATGTTGACTTTATTTCTCTCCAGAATCCCTCGGAAAACCTAACAAACATCAAAACAAAACAGAGACACTTAGAACATGACAGAAAACAGGGGCTTGAGCGTGTGCTGTTATACAGCCAAAATGATATTATAAATAAAGCTGCAACACTGGATGCAGCCAGTACTTACTGTCGGTAGATTATTTCTGTTTGAGGTCTATTATGGTTTTTGTGTTGGAAGTGTCACTTTCAATAAATTGGTTGTCATGAGGTTTAAACAGCTGCAGTCATTTTTGGAGCAGAAATCTTAGTTTTGAGGAAGATTGCATGTAGTTAAGACTGGTCTTTTTGGAGAAGAGCAGCGAATAGCTGGAATGAAACTTTCAACATTATCTGAGACAGAAAATTGGCCAAGTTCATCTTATCGTAGTGTAAATGGTTTGAATCACAGGAGGAATAAAATTGACTGTTTGGAAAATAGGACTATGAATGGAAGTCAATGATCCATGCAGGTACTGATAATATGATTGCCAGGATATTGTTATTTGTACGACTGACTGCAGATTCTGAAGACCAACTCTATTCCCAAAGTGCTCTCAGTGCACAATGTGAGCTTGTGTACAACGTTCATTATGTCAAAATTTATCTAGTGATGTGATCCTAGAAGCAAATTATCACCAAATTTTTAAAATCTCAACCAGCATTAAATATTTTCACCCATCACGGGTACCTGGCACTGGCACGTGGTCCCCCAAAACCTCCAGCCTTAACTGTGTCTTCAAATTGCTTGATGACTTCATTCCTCTTTATCGTCATAAATTCCCACCCCTGAAAGCCCCTGAAAATCCTTCATTTCATACTCGGGTCTTCAGCCATCTAGTCCCTACGCTCTGGAATTCCAAACCCCCTGAGCTCCCGACCTTTGTCTCCTAGTGAAAGGGGGTGGCTTTGAGCCACATTTCGTTCTTTGACAGGATGTTTGTTATGTGGGTGTGAGTCTGACACCAGGTGCATATTTGACTGGCTGGCCAATTAGTGGGCCAGAATGTGAGCTTCCCACTAAGATTGACAGACTGGACAGACAACAGGAGACCTACCAACTCTACTATCAGCTGCTGAGATAGGTAGGAGGGATAGATGCAGCTCGAAGAGCTTTTAAGAGTGGTGACTCTCATACTGGTTACAAATATCTACACTGCTCTTTTGGACGTGGGAGTCCCATCCACAGATGCTGCCTGTGACCATTGTTGTGGCCACCCATCACTTGCAGCCTCAGCTTAGGTTGGGGGTTTTGAGGGAAGGGGTAGGTGAAAGATTTCTATGGATATCTGGTCTCTCTGCTGCTGGGAGGCTGCCTCCATTCATAGGATGGGTTTCAGCCTCAGTGAGAGGATCAAAAATTCCAATTGGCATTTACAGTGCATCCTCAAAAGGGGGACTGTTATTGGATAGCCACCACATGGAGAACCTCCGCCAACCATCACTTCTAAAATGATCCAGGGTGGAAATAAGCCAGGAAACTGCACCATCCATCTGTCCACTCTGTTTAGAAGTTCAACTCAACTTAAACTCAAGTCAGTATCTTCCCATTGTGCTTCTCCTCACTATCATTTTCTGTTCCAAATGGTGCAGCGTAAATACAAGCCGTTAATTTTCACAAGTTGTTTGCAACATTAAGCTACTGAATTTTACGCTTTTGCTCTGTTCAACATTTGCAGCTTTTTTGTGTTTACTTTCTCATCTCTCCATGGTTTAACATCAGTGTGGTGTGTCAGGCAAAACTAGACAAAAACAAAGCTTAATTTGATATCCACTCCCGGAAGTGGTCAGTCAGTCAGTCACAATTTCAAAGCAGAAAATCTGGTGCTAAAAAAAGATATTCAGATCAAAACATGTAAATGCTGGAAAAGTAAAGTAACTCACAAGTGCAGCTAAACTTTAAAAATAACGTCAAAAGGATGAATAATGCAGCTGCACTATGTTGCTGCTCTTCAAACAATTGCATTCTTCAAGCAACAAAACTAATCGATGCAGATTTTTGTTAACTTTAAACTTTTGGTCGTAACCATTCATATAAATATCCTCAGAACTTGGTGCTGTTGACCAACATAACAGCTATATTTTTTGTAAGAAAAAGAACTCAATTTAAAGCATTGTGAAAATTCCGCTGTGTACCAGATACCAATATCAGAACAATCTTTTTCAACAACAAATACTCATATTTGTATAACACCTTTAACTGAATTGTACATTCCCAAGCATTTTACTCAAGCATTTATAAAATAAAATCTGACACCAAACCACACAAAGAGATGTTAATTCGCAAGCTTAGTCGAAAGAGGTATGTTTTAAAAACCGTCTTCTGGGTAAAAGCAAGGCACAGAGGTATTTAGGGAGGAAACCCAGGAGTTTGGAGCCTAGGTAGCTGAAGGCACAACCAACAATGGAAGAGTGATTAAAATCAGGAAAGTGCAAAGGGACAGAATTAGATTTCTTTGATATTGGTGCTACAATTTACTTCAATCTTTTCCGTAACTCAACATCCATTATATTCTATTTGTCATATTTTGACAGGTTGCAGTTGTGGAAACTTAAGTATCTAAGCATGATTTTTATCACTACCAAAGGAAGTTAAATTTACTTCTTTTAAAAAAACAGAGTGAATTGAAATCATAAACAAGGGTGTGACCCTAAAATTAAGTTAGGGGAGTAGTGGGTATGAAGTCACTTTAGGTAAGGAAAGATGGTCAAGAGTACAGCATTGTTATGGAGATGTGGACAAGAGCTCTGGTTAAGTAAGGAGCGGATGCTCAGAGCACACAGCAGGTGGAAATAAAACTAAAGATAGGTATGGGGTAAAGGCGGGTGTGGGAAGTTTGGGAGCCACAGCAGCATGTAGGTGAATGGCCAGATAGGTAAAAGAGGCATGGGCCAGATTTCAGGATAAAACCTGCCGATGCTGTAAATCAGTAAGTTGCTGGAAAAACTCAGCAGGTCTGGCTGTGTTCTGAGGGTCACTGGACCCAAAATGTTAACTCTGATTTTTTTTCTTCACAGATGCTGCCAGACCTGCTGAGCTTTTCCAGCAACTTCTGTTTTTGTTCCAGAGTTCAGGATAGGTGGGGATAGATTGCAGATCGTCTGCATCCCCACCTCCCCCCAACAAATATGTAGCCTCTGTTAAATTTTGTTAAGAAAAACTCAAAATTTGTCCCTCCAAAAATTTTAAAATCAAATTCATAAAATTGAACAAGTAGCATTATTGTGGCTGAAACAGCAGCAAATTCACTGGCTTAAGATGTATATGTTCCCTATAGGCTGTCCATTCTAAAGGTGCAAAGAGGAATTCACTATGGAGCTGCTTGACCAGGTATTTTGTTTTTAAATGTATCATGAGTCAGTCTGTGATAATGGTGCATGCATCACATTCTGGTTATCACTAATTCCTTTTTCTATTTTTCTACATAAATATTTTATTCTTCATTCTTCTGCTCCTCTCTTTGGCCTCTTTTACATCTCTCTTTACTTCCTTTGGATGGGGTGGAGATTGTGTGACGGGGAAATGGACTAAATAGTCAACAGTTGCTTTTGGAGGAAAGGTGGTACCCATTGATTCCCTCCCACATTCATGGATTTCCCCCACACTCCCTCACCATCGCTGGACACCTCTTTTCTCAATCTCTGCTGCTCTGTGCTTTCAAAAGCTCCGCCCCTCCTTTCCTTGCCTGCCAACCTTTCTGAATCATTTCCCTCAAAGAGAATTAGTAAGCTTTCAGAATTTTGCAAAATAATCAAATGATATTAAAAAAGAACTGTCCACATGACTTGCTGGCTATTTTTGACCTTTTCTTTGTTTGTTTGTATTCTATTATAATTGGGAATCTCTTTCTCAAAATTGTAAATAATTAACATTTAGCTTTCCTTCGCAAGATTCAGGGGAGATAATTGGCCTCTTCCAACAGCCAAATGGCAATGCTTCAAGGAACTCCTAGACAGGGCGTTTATTAAGTTCTTGAACACTGTTAAATTTTAACAACTCTGAATGTGCACACAACTCATCCAAACTGTAAATGTCATATGAAAACAAGTCTAAATATTTCAACTGAATATCATGTGGATTTCTAGGCTTCCATATAACTGCCAGTTTTTATGATACACTGTTCAATCTAATTTATCAACAGTTCATTAGTAGTGCATTCTTTTGGTTGTACATAGCCTGAACATTGCTGCAAAGCAAGACCTGTTGTTGATTTTTGTTGCAAAAAAGAAGTCAGTAATGTCTTGCTTTGCAGCAATATTTAGAATTTTCAGATTAGCTGAGGATGTCAAATAAAATCTTTATAGTTGTTGGATTAAAAATAACTCTTCAAAGCATACATGTACTGTATAACAGGAAAATTAAAAACAGAAAATAATTTCAGTTAGAAGAAATAAAAATGAAAGGTTATGAAACGTGTTAATAAGCATTTCAAGTTATTTATACAAACCTGGAAGTCAAGTTCTGCAAAAAGAGTGACAAAATTGACAAACATCAGAACTGGTATTCATAAGAAGTGTCTCAAATGTGGCAAGCAGACAGCAAGATAAGAGAAAGAGGAAGAAAGCTGCAGGATGGAGATAGAAATCAATATCTTCATAGTGGAAATTCTATGACATAAATCTTTTAAAGGACGTTCAATTCCGTACTAAGCACTTTCGCAGATCATTCCTATATGTGCGGTTTTTTTCCCCCAAAATCTTCTAGAATTGTGAGAGTTACCCACCTGAATGTTCTGCGAACATTACTCCATCAATTTAATACATTTCAGCAAATGCTGGAAATACCCAGTGGTTTATGCAATTAAGGCATTCAACCCAATTGCTCCATGTTAATGTTTACGTCCCAGAACAATCTCTTTCACTTCTCATTATCTAACTTTGTCAACACATCTTTTGATTCTTCTCTCTTTCATGTGTTTATCTAGCTTTCCTTTAAATAAATCTATGCTGCTTGTTCAAACCCTTGCTGATCTTTCATTATTCTTTATATTTTATTCTCTTATCAATTTCAGTTTAGAGCTGAAGTTGACTTGTGGAATTTGAACAGCTTGTGGAAGAGTACTGACCAAATAAGCTTTGGTTTTATTTGTGAGGCCAGACCTGGAGGTTAATTGCAGGCTGAGTCTAGATTAAACGTGTTCCTATAGACACAACAACACTGGGAAGAGCATTGTATTTGAACAGATAGCGGAGCTTGGCTACTAAGGAGGTCAGTACCTGGGGATTGGTTCCAGCAAGTCTGAAAGAGACCCTAATGGCAGATATTGAATGGTAG